GGGGGGGGGGGGGGGGGGGGGGGGGGGGGGGGGGCTTGACGTTCAGGGTGAGCCGCAGCTGGGGGTGCACTGTGGACATGCGAGCACAGAGATTGCGCGACCTGGGGTTTTTGGTGCTGAAGTGCGACAACCGAGGGAGCTTCCGAAGGTGACGACAGCAGACAAACGGAAAAAGAACGAATACCACAAAGAACCACATAATTAATTGAAGTTGCATAATTACAGCAAGGATTGTTGAGGCCTACTTTTGTACGCCGTGCTTGGCAGGCAAGTATGTCAAATGGAAAAGAGAAGGAAGGACGATGGTGCCTCGTTTTTTGGCCCGTACGTGTGAAATGAAGTATCATCACGTGTCGAAAAGCATTCTCGGCTGCTGGTCGCTTACTTTTCGTTTTCATTTGCGTGTGTTGTGTCTCTGTCTTGTCGTGTTTTTCGTGTGCAAGGGGGTTGGCGTTCGAGGCATGGGTGAAGTGGCGCATGGGTGGCGTCGAGATAACCGACCAGGAGGACTGCGTGCACTGGGCGGTCAAGAAGGTGATCGTGTGAAGGTTCTTGTGCCTGCTTTTGGGTAGTCGTCCACGCAACTAGGAGAGGATTTCGTGAACCCCCTTTTCGCTGTGCCGTAACCGTACTTTTTTTTTTTTTTCGTACAAGTAAAAATGTGCCGAGATGGAGGGGGACAGCGGTTGTTCTGGTTTTAACGACAAGCCCGTGTCGTATGTCTTGTCTCCCCGGAACTTAAAGGCAAAGAACTACTTGTGGTATAACGATAGTAGGGATGATGACGAAAGTAGCAAAGTAAGCATTCTCAATTATCGCTTTGCTGCCTGTCCGAAGGAAGGGTCTCCGACGCGGAGCATGTGCCTGCCCCCTTCCCCCCCCTTACTCATTCCCTGGTGGTCATTTTTTTTTCTTTTTCTTATAATTCAAGACCTTCATTGTTGTTGTTGTTGTCGTTGTTTGTTGTGTGTTTGTGTTTCCCCTCTTTTCATACCCTTCCACCGCTCATGTCGGTGGCTTACACGCGGCCATGTTTTTTCTTTATTGGTGAGATCCCCCCGCGTGTGTCCATCTGTGTGCGCGGCTCGTACGTGTTCTCCTTCCTACCCCCTCGAAAGGGTCTGGCGGACCCTGCGAGAGTGGGCATCTATGGCTGGAGCTACGGAGGGTACGCCACGGCCATGTGCCTGTGCAAAGCGCCCAACACCTTCAGGGTGGGGGTGAGCGGGGCCCCGGTGACTGCCTGGGACGGTTACGACACTCATTACACGGAGCGCTACATGGGCACTCCGATGGAGAACCCCAAGGGTTACACGTGCGTTGTTGTTGTTGTTGTTGTTGTTGTTGTTGTTGTTGTTGTTGGGAGCGAGCCTAGACGGACGGGATGCTGTCCATCCTAGCGCCCTTTGACCCGTCTGTACTCCGATCCTGCGAGCCCTGGCCACAAGGCCCAGCTCTGTCCGCAGACAAGTTGGTTTTGCACGCGGCCTCCTCTGACTCTCATCCCCTCCCCCCCCCTCTCTGTCTGTTGCCCCAACGGGCGTCTCGGTACCCTATCTTTTTTTGCCCACGGCGTTCTTCTTTATCTTGTCAGAGAGTCTAGCGTGTTGACTCACGCGTCCAAGCTCGAAGGGAAGCTGATGCTGGTGCATGGCCTCATGGACGAGAACGTGCACTTCCGACACACGGCCAGGCTCATTAACGCGCTAATCGCGGCCCGCAAGCCGTACGACCTCCTCATATTCCCGGACGAGCGCCACTCGCCGAGAAAGCTACAGGTACGTAGGTGTGGTGTTTGCTGTACAGTGGGGGTCCCGTTATCCCGCGGTCCCGGGTAAATGGTTAACACACGCTCGCCGCGGGAATTGTGTTTACCGCACCAAAAGCTGTGTGTTCCCCCAAGTGCGGTGTCCCGATTATTACTATTGGGCGTGTTTGTTTTTGGTGTACGTGGTCTGGGTAGACTATTTATTTAAACTTTCAGTTGTGGGGACGAAGTATACCGCTACCGCGGTGATATTTGCCTGTCATTAGTGCTTTTTGCGTCTTTTTCTTCATGGCGGAGGTGTTGAGGCCGCAAACGTGACACTCCCTCCCATACAGCGCAGAGGCAGGGGTTAACTATTGTACTGCTCTCGAGCGAGCGCGAACTCGCGTAGAAGCTGGACTTTTGCGGAAGTTGTTCGGGTGCGGGCGTACGCACGTGTGTGTGTGTCTTATGGCCGGTTGTCTTATTCTTTTTCGCGCATCGATTTTTTTTTTGTTTTTGGGGGAGGAGGCGGGTCGTCTGGTGCGTCTTGGTGGTTATGTTGAGGCTATTGGATGCATTTACGATGATTGTCTCCTTCTCTACCTCGGCCGGTGTTGCCTTGCGTCTGTCTTGCCATGCTTGTTTCCTCGTGGCTTCCGATAAGGTCTACTTTCATCTCGAGCATGCCGGTTTTGATCAACATTAGCAGACCCGAGCCACTATCGAATTCCGATTGCATGGGTACAATACCACATCGACAGAGAGGCGAGAATCAAAATATCCCACCTTCGGCTCCCTCATCTCATTCATTTCCTGTCTTCGTGTAAATGGTGTTCATTGCAGCTGTGCAATTCTCACAATGCTAGCTGCCCCCACCCCTCTCTTCGCTCTCGTCTTGGTAGGACCGCGTGTACATGGAGCAGCGCATCAGCGACTACTTCGTGCAGCACCTCGTCAAAGACCCCCCACCGCAGGTATACGTTATGCCTAGCGTAACACGAGACGACGTGATGATGCGTGGTGTAAATAATAATTTTGCAAGAGGCGGTGCAGGCAGAGAGAGAGAAAGGGATATGTATTTTTTCCTCGGCGCATTGCTCTTGTTTGGTTTTGGCCAAGCTTGGTGTTGCGAGGGGAAGAGTTTAATCCTCTGCCTCTCGACTACGAGACTGGTGTAGAGCTGGTACGCTGTCTATCGCGCTTGGTGGGCCCAAGCCCTCATCGGACTACTTTCGACCGCCACGTGTCTGTGTGTCGCAAGTGTAAGCGGTGTTGCTGCTGCCGGCTCATGATGCCGATATCCATCGTTGCCAACCCTTGGTTGGATCATTTTCACAAGCAGAACCGTCTACCGGCACACGGACGGGGCAAAAATTCCGTAAGACTGAACCGTGGATCCCGTTGAGTCCTGCGGGGAGACAAATGTCAAATGGTCCCCATGCACCTGTTGCCAGTGTTATCTCTATCTTGGTTTCTGTCTATTAACACAGAGTTCACCCCTACCCCCCCCCCCCC